TCATAACTTTCCCCACCATGTGAACTTTGCCCTTGCATGCGAAGACCAAATCATTACACCTTCTCTCACAAATCCTCTCTGGCCACTTACCTTGGTTCCTCAGGTCACTGACCCTCAGTGGAGGTTGCCTCAAGTGTTATTGGTAGTTTGGGATTGCATCTCCGCCCCCCCCCCCCCCCCCACTTACTGCATTGATGGTTTCAGGCATTTGACAAGTATGAAATGATAATGATGAGATGTTCTTTAGTAAATCTCTATGTACATGGTACTAATTAGCATTTCCTCGAATGTGAAACCAAGTTACCACCTGCTTTCCTGTGCTGTGAAAAATCTAGAAAACAGTTGTATATTTTTTCAGACATGGTTGTCTGAGACTGCAAGGCTGTAGGCATGGTGTATTAGTGTCCCTACAACCTTCCTTCACTTTCCACTCTCCAGTCTCCACTCGGAGTGGTTGAACCCCTGATACATACATATTATAGTCATTTTGATTCTTTTGTCTTAACTTTAACAAAGCTCATAGAGGGAAATGGTTTTGTTTACAGCTTTTATCTGAGAATCAGTGTTACATTTCTAAATTGGGAACTTTCATGCTTTACTGGGCGGAAAGAAATAGCGATGTGGAAGGCAAAAGAGTGATATATTCCAATAGGGTCATGCCAGAGAGACTATAAAAGGAATCCTGCAATTTTAATGACTCAAAAACCACCTTTGTTTTTCATATTATCAGCATCATAGAATTCTGGTACTAAATACTGTGTGATTCTACTTCTTTGCCACATTTGGTTTCACCTTAAAGAAGTGATTCCTTACCATGTAGACTGAAAGAGGAATAGTTAACAAAAGGCAGCTTATGCAGCCTGGTAAACACTGCGAGAGCCGTATTGTGTAAGGGTGATTGAGTGACCAGGAAAGTTAATCCTGGGTGTCTGTTCATGTCATCTTCCCAAGAGGTTTTCCTCCACCTACCCGCTTCAGAGCAAAGAGGCAATCTGAGATCAAACTGACATCAGCCCTCGTTCTGAGCTTGGCACATCTTCAGAGCAGCTACTGTTATTCTGCCAAAAGGAAGTGGAAATTGAGATAAATGTTTCAATACTCAGATGGAAAAAAAAAAGTCCATTTTTACACCACGTCCCTTTTGAAAAACCACATTCCTTAGAAGCAAAGTTTATTGTTTCCTTTTGTGATAGTTTGCTTTTCTTTTTTCTTAAGACGTGGTATTTAAGAGCGGTAATTGAGTTCAGATTTTAAAATGTGCTGTTTTCCACTCTGCATGTCATTAAAATAAAATATTAGCTTTCATAAAGTTTCTTTGGAGGTATTTCTGGTGTGCTGTGTTCCATGGTGTGTAGCATGTCAGCCGAAGAATGATGGTTGTATATGATCTAATAATGGGTAAACTTTGACCCTGGAATCTATTATAATTTTATAGTATTATGAGAATCTATAATAGATCACTTACAGAGTGTTCAAAATGTGCCTACTATATATGATTCTGTTTGTAATTTTGTCCCCTAAGTTTACTTCCATGAAATGTCTTCTACTTGTCATGTCTTTTCACTAAGAGCCCAGAAAACTGCCACAGCAGTTTGCAGAATAGAAGGAGCTATCGGAAGAACCATGAATCCTGGGTGTCGGATTTTGTTGGGCTTTTGTGTTTGAGGACATTGATTATGTGCAGAACAGTATTTGGGTTTGAAACAGTGCACATCAGTCTTTTCAGAAGGGGTGCTCCAGTAGCAAATTTACTTTATTGCATACCTACCTTTCGGGTTTTCTAGTAGAACAGTTGGTAGTGAATGTCATTCTCTCACCCCATATGCATGAAAAAGGGTCTCACTGTATTTTGTTTTACTGTGGTATATAGAAAACTCACTTTTCTATCAGATTAGTGTGGAAATGAGCCTCACAGTAGGTCTTGGAGTTGGGCACAAAGACTGAAGTGTGTTTGAATTTTAAATGTGCAGACCTGGCATTGTTGCTTCCACAAAGTGCTCTGTCCTTTGTTGGCTCCTTCAAGTTTACTGCGTTACTACGGGATACTGTTCGGTATCTGAGAGAATCCCAGTTGAGCTCCTTTTTCTTAGCTGTGATCTAATTGATATTCTGATATTTCCTCTAGATCAAGAGGAATGGTGTTTGGACCAGCCAATTTAGGGGAAGATGCAATTAGAAGCTTCATTGCAAAACATCGTTGCAACTCCTGCTGCCGGAAGCTCAAACTCCCGGGTATGCCCCAAACAATTCTATTTTTCTCTAAGTAAATCTCTCATTGAGCAACAGCCATTGTAACCTGGGATGGAGTAGAAAATCTTAATCACTTTTTTATCTCATTCGCAGTCGAGGCCTGACTTTCTGACTGCATATTTTTCAAGTCTCTAAAGGGATTAAAAGGACAGAGATTTACTTCAGGTTCTGCCAAAATGTGATAAAACAACATCAGGCCCAATGCTTGTCACAGTCTCTCTAAGGGAAAAGTTCCACCTACTTAATTGGGGGTAAAATTGGATGGAGGCAGATTCCCCCCGTCGCACCCCCACCCCTTGGATCTTGTGTGATGCCCACAGTATTTCTGTTCTGTTCTTATTTACTCATTGGACATTTGGGAGGCTGGGGCATGGAGGGAAGCAACAGCTATCAATGAAAGTAGTGCTTTTTATCATAAAAACCTACCCCTGTCAACCTACATTACAAGATATGTTTTTAAAATCTGATTTGATAGTGTGACATGCTTTCTCTAAGACTAATAGACTCAGCACAGAAAAATATTCCTAACATAAAAGGCAACAGCCGGAGGTCTGTGGGCCCCAAGTTGGCAGCCCCAGCTCTGTCGCATTCTTTCCTTTTATCTCAGAAGGGCCGCTTTATGTCTGTCTCAGCTCACTCCCTGTGTCTCTAAGGTTGTACCACACTTGTTCTTAAAGTGGAATTTCACATCTTTAAAGCTGAGTAGCCCTTCCAGCCTTATCATAAGTGATTGGACCCCAAATTGGAAATCAGTAAAAGATCAACATCCACTGTAACTTGGGATGGAGCAGGTGAAAATTTACAGCAAAGAAAGGCAATTTCTTATCTTGTTGGAGTTGAAGGTAGGAGTTGCTCTTGTGGGCACGATGCAGCAGGAGACTGGGATGGGTAACAGATCCCAGTTCCAGCAGGGAGTAGCTTGTCGGCCGGGGAGGTTGTGATGGGGATGTCAGAGTGGTACAGAGAGTGGGGTCTCGCTGTCATCTGGCGGCTGCCCAGGACCCCTTCTCACAATCCACACAGTGGAAGTGGGCAAAGAGAACAGTCCTCGGCACATTGGCTGAGCTGCCCATTGACCTCCTGTCTGGATAGCAAGAGCCCAGGAAGGAGCGGGGGCTGGACTGAGCCACATCCAGGCCTCCAGATAAGGGTCCTCTGGGAGGCAGGAGCTGACACGTATCTCCCAGCCTATGATCACAGGCCAGAATCCAGCTCATTAACTTGGCATCCTCAGGTGCTGACCTCTTCCCGGTTCTGATTCATTGATTCCTGGGCAAGGCCACTTCTTGTTCTTGAAGACACAGGGACTATATCTGATCAGGCAGGATTAAGGGAAATTTGAGGCGTAACTCACTGCTTCCATCCAGTCACCTCTTCTGTAGGATTAAGATTCCTCCACCTCCTTCCTTTTTGCCTTTCCCTACCATGGTGACTTTTGAGCCATTCAGGAATTCCTCCATTTCTAGACCTAATCCTTATTTCCTTTCAAAACCTTAGTTAACACATTTAAATGAAAATAAGAAATATCCTCATTTACTCGAACATTTGGTAATTTGAATTTAAAAAACCTTAGCTCAGAAAACAGGAGTAGGGGTGATTTTTCTTTTTGTTTATGTTTTACTGTGTTTTTTTTTTTTTTTTAAAGAGAAGTCATTTTGGAAAGTGTATAAGAGCATGGGGTCCATAGGTTGAGCTCACATCCCAGGAGTGCTTTGTACTAATTTTGTGACCTTGGACCTCATTCTCATCTGTGAGCTGGGAATGATAGCACCTCATAAAGGTGGTGTAAGGATTGAAGCAATGTAATAAGTGTTGGCTATTATCAAACTATAGTATGTATTAGTTTTATGTCCAGATAGTCCCCATTTAATATTAAAACACTATAAAGGAATGTATATTTAAGCTTAACAAATTTAATCAATATGGCATATACCATGATATCCAAACATTTAAAGCTCACTGTTGTCTTTAAGTTCTCCCAAGGGTTGCCCTTGTTAATGATTTCTTGTAATTCCCTGTTGAACTAAAGAAGGAAGGTTCAGGAAGCAGAGAATTTGATTATTGGATGATGCTTTTAGAGGTTCAGCCAAACCTGAGGTCCATTTTTGTTGCAGAAAACTGAGCGATGATGTCTCAAGTCCACCATTTTGACTGAACAGTCTGACTCTGCCATCATTCAACAGTGAAAATGCCCTGTTTCTAGTATGGCCTCACTTAACTGGCCACGTCATGTCTCAAGGGCGCTATGTATTGAGCCATGCAGCCGAGTCTTGCCACAGTGAACACAGCCTTTGGGAGTTAGGAGTCACATGTGTGCCTGGTGGGGTATACCTTGGACAGGGTTGAGGGTTTGAGTTTCACACATCAGAGGGAGCAGAGTCTTCTCTGAGCATTTGGCCTAAAGTCCAATCTATCTGAACATCACGTTCTTAAGGTTTCCCTATCACTGTCTTAACTGTCTTCCTTGCAGACTTAAAAAGAAATGACTACTCTCCTGGAAGGATAAGTTCTGCCTTTGGACTTGAGATCAAAATAGAACCAGCTGAGGAGACTCCGGCGGGCGAAGAGGGTAGCAATTCTCCAGAGGACCTCACACGATTGTAAAAAAAAAAAAAACAAAAACAGAAGAAGATGACAGCCTTTGCCCTGCCTTCCATGAACTCTATGGTAGCATAGATTGGGGATATAACACATGATTTGCCCTGCCTTCCATGAACTCTATGGTAACATAGACTGGGGGTATAACACTGATGGTGTCAGAGCCTCTGCCAGAATGGCCTTACCCCGAGGGCCTTCTGGGTGTGCCTTCTGAGTCTCAGGTCTCTCTGGCCCAAGGACTTCCCCGTTGTTTGATGAATGGCTTTTCCTACACATTGACCATTGTGCAGGGCGCTTCCGTGTGCAGGGTTCATCATGCTCAAGCTGCACAGGAAGACATTTGGATGTATCAACTGGGAAAGCTGCTGCTTCATACCTCATTCCTTGGTGCAGAATGCTGGGCACTTAAAAGAACCAGACAGATTAATTTATTTTCTCACTCTGTGTGCAGACTCTAACCTCCACTGCTATTCATCACCTAACCCCCATATTGTATTTATGTATATAGTTGTACATAAAAAAGTCATTTGACTTCCTCCTCTCTCCTTTCCAGCAGCATAGGGCTTTATATAGTGACAGAAAGGAAAACAATAGAGAGAAGGTGTATTTGCACAGACTGGAGGACGCTCCTGCACAAACTAGTCAGTGAAAAGGTAGCATCCTAGTGATATCTACTGAGTTTGAGTATCATCAGTGGATCATATGATCACTGGGCATTTCAGGTTTCTCTAAAAGAGAGGAAAGGGAAATCTAAGACAAAAGCCCTAGCATTTTCTTTTTTTTTAAGGGAACAAGGATATATAAAACTAGCAATTATTAAGAAATGTTTTCCCTTCCCTTAAGCTCAGGGACACTATTGGTTAGAGAGTTGTGTAAGCCAACCTCTTAAGAATTACTCCCTTTTTCAAAGCTGGGTATATAATATTACAAGCTGAATTACTCTATGTAAGGTCATATAAGTAAAGATGGGGTTTCTGAATGAAAACATGCTTTGAAAATTTTGATTCATTGCAGTGCAGAGTTCTGGTGGCTTCAGGAGTGCTGGAGTGTATAGTTTAAGTATGGCCTGAGCACATGTGATCAGTTTCAGAAACCTGAAGAAAGGGTCCCTGGAAGCCACACTGTACAACATGTTTGGGGGATCAGTCATCCCTCTTTCACACTTATCAAGGGTCACCCTACCTCAGAACAAGCACAAACTGTTCCCCCAAGGAGGACTTGAAGGTCTGGGTACCTTCCCCCCTCTCCTCTCATCTCCTTTCCTCATTAAAAGGCATTCCAATCTATCAGCAACAAGTCTCCTGGGGCTTAAAATTTTCACCTTATATTACCGTTAGCCCTTGCACTAGCTGGCTTCCTTTCAAATCAGTGCTCCTGTATTCTTAGGTTATACTGTGGGGAAATGTTGCCCAAAGGTAGGGGGATGGAAAGCCAAGGATTTGGTTTGCTAAGGATGGTGTATGATTTTTGTGAGATGCATGATGGCTGACTTACAGCCCTTTTACTCTGGTCTTGGGGGTGGTGGGAGGTGGGAAATCTGGGTGATTTCTTCATTGGCAATGAGGATAAATTGTTAATGCTTTTTCATAGCGTAACTGCTTTATCCTGTTCTGCAAATCAGCAAGAGATCTGTTGGTACTCCAGAGCCACGTTCAACTATGGAAAGAGGCAATTTTCATATCCAAGCCATACTAGAAAGCATTAATTCATTGGTCAAATATTTGTTACCTAGAATGGAACTTGAAAAAATACATTTTGATTTTTCTTTTCTGTGTTGTGGTTTTGTGTCTCTCTTTTTAAGAAAATATCACCAGAATAGCATTTTAAAAAGATGAAACCCTGGACAAAGGTCACCATGGGATAGCTGACAGGAAAATACCAATGTGATAATCATGACTTTGATTCATGACCACAAATGAATGAATTCATTCATGTGGTTAATTTTATTCAACAGGTATTTATTAAGTGCCTTCTCTGTAATGTGTAAGTGATGAGGGTGCAGTGCACATAACATTTCTTTGCCCTTAAAAAGTGGTGTGTCTTATATTTCTTTCTGTTTTGGTTGTTGTTCCAGGTTTGGATTTCTGGTGAGTACTGAAAAATTTGACTTTTGGGGGAGTGTTGAACGCAGAGATGTGTCCCGTATTCTATCTGCCAGTGAGCAGTAGGTTTAAACTGGGATATGAGAATTAAGGCAAATGAAAAGACATAGCTGGGATGGTTTTAGGAACCAATGAGGAAAAATGGACTGCATCATCCTTATAGGAGCCCTTAGCCCATCTCACAGATGGCATCTGAATCTGGGGACCAGAGAAACAGCTAGGTTCTTGGGAGTCCTTCCTGAAGGCATCCTGAGCACAGGCATTCCGTTCTTGGGGCTGTGTGTTCCTAGGGTAACTTCTGCCCCATGACATCTTAAAGCTTCTAGTAACAACTCTGGGGAGTGAGATCAGATATAGTTTTGGGTCTTTCTCACCGTGCTATTTTCTGTGGCTTTGCTAAACAAGTTCTGGGTGACTAAAACTTCCCTAACAACCATTTAATGAAAAGTTGGAAAAAAATTTTTTGTTGTTGCTGTTGTTATTGTTTTAGATGAGATTACTCACACTCTAGAAGTCATGACATAGATGTTCCCATCATGGCTTGTAGCCTTTCTCCATCAGTCACTGGCATCTACCACAAAGCTTGGCATGTAATAAGCTTTCAACTTTATTTGTTGAAAGAAATAATAAAACCTTCACATGATAATGGATTTCATTTACTAGTTAACAAATCAGATTTGCATTTTTAATCTAGAAGGGAATGATTACCAATTCCTTAAGACCCAACACAATTCTTTTGATCTCTCTCTGTTTTAATTTTCCAGGAAATAGCTTTTAACAACCTACACCTTGTCTATTGAATTCTCAACCAGTTCTTGCCCTTATCGTCATGGCAATAATACCAGACTACCATCCTTCTTACTGGTGACTATTGAAATGAGATGATAACTTCCCAGAAACTGCCTAGAAATAATCATCACTTTATTACCCTTTGAAAAGAAGATTGATAGAAAAGTCATTTGAAAGATGGTTCATTACCATGCCCTAGTACGATTTCTTTACTCACATCTCTCCAAAGCATGAGAAAGGAAGGATTATTCTCTGAGGTCGGAATTTGAAGGCTGTGTGTTTGCCTCTTTGAAGTCTTGGTATTTAATTTTCTGTAGTCATTTCTTGGGCAATTTTCTAAGAAACTAGTTGAAGCTAATTTATCATAAGTTAAAGTCAAATGACAGAAAAGATTTTTTTCCCCCTTAACAGCATTTTATTCCACAGAGGTTAGCTTCTGAAGGAAAATGAGACTTAAATAGCATTTCAAATCTCCAGCCACATGGGTGGGTACACAGAATAGAAAGGGTTCTGGAAGCCACACTGGTTTTTTTATTTAGCACAGTTATTATTTTGTGAGTTTTCTTCCTAGACCTTGATGTACAGATAAAGTATATTTTAGTGAAATGCCCTCCTAAAAATAATTAGTGAAGTTGCTTAATTTTTCAAAAGGAACTTTAAGTCCTCAAGGGATAACAACCCTTGATCTCTATCACTGGCAGATTTGGTTTAATTTTATATATTTCTTTTAACCTTTCTTTTAGTCCGTAACTCTGAAATGAGGATGAGATACTTACCTTTTCCAACAAAGGTGAACAATAATGAGAGAGCATTTATAAAGTCCTTTGAGAATCTCATTTAAAAGCCTTCTTGTGAGCGTGGGATCCAGTTCAATAAATAATAAGGGGCTTTCATTTTTGATATTATGTGATCATTATTTAATGTTTACAGAGGATGCTCAGTGGACTTGTTCTAGTATAAACACAAAAGTGGTTTCTGCTGTTTCTCTTTCCAAGGGGAAAAAGCTCATTGCTCCTTTTTTATTTTCAAGCTTAATTAAGTGGTTCAAAATCATGATGTTCACCATTTCACAGTGCCTCCTACTTATTTTCTTTTTTGATGGATTTGGGTTTACACAGCCAAAGTCTTTGGCCACCTTCTGCCCAAAGAGAGCCTTCCAGGATAAGTAAAGCCCAAATCTGGTACCATCATTGATGATATTTTTAAGAATGAAAAAAGAGCAGGTTTAGAATCTTGGTATTTGTAAGGCCTGATGTTTTATAAAAAAAATTAATTAATGCTGATTTAGATTTTGTCAGTATAGGACTGTTTAGTAATAGGAAAATTCTGGCCTATGGGTTGTACATCTTTTAGTAACTACCTTCGGCATTCTCATCTTCCCCTAGTGGTTTTGTTCATTTGTTTGTTTCACTTTGAACCTTTACAAATTCCATCTGCTACTAATAATCAGAAAGTTCATGCAATTGTTATGGTAGAAAACCTTTGGCTAATGACTGTCCAAATGTGGACATAATAATAACTGCCTTTCATTGGAGGAATTTGGGGGGAATCATCGTTGGTATCATGTGATTGCACTTTGGCTTGTAATGAATCTCTTTCTTCGTTCCGTATTGGTCACCAATGAGAGGTCACAGAACCTCAGGATGCTTTCGTAACTCAAAGAAATCCTTGGTGTGTGTTCTGGGTTGAATTGTGTCTCCCCAAATTTCATGTGTGGAAATCCTAACCCCAGGTACCTTGGATATAATTGTATTTGGAAATAAGGTATTTACAGAGGTAATAAAGTTTAAGTGGGATTATCAGGGTGGACTCTGACTCAACATTACTGTTGTTCTTATAAGAAGAGGAGATTAAGACATAGATACACTGAAAGTGAAGACCATGTGAAGACAGACAGAATGCATCATCTGCAAGCCAACCAAGGTGAGAGGCCTAGGAGGAATCAGTCACACTGACATCTTGGACTCGCAGCTTCCCGAACGGGAGGGAAGAAATTTCTCTTGTTTAAGTCACAGTCTTCTGCTTTGTCATGGCAGCCCTAGGAAATTGTTACCTTGTTGCGATGCTTTGGAATTGCCTATGTGACCCTGGAATTTTGTAGTAAGGGATGAGAAGAGATGAGGGCAGCAGCAATGGAGAGGAGGAGGAATGACCGCTGACCATCTTCTGGGGCAGAGGACAGACAGTGTCACAGATGGCAGGACTTGGTGAGTCATTTGAGAGAGTAGAAACTGATGTGTTCTGGAGGTCACCCGAGTGTGACAGGTGAAAGCGAACATTGGCTGGGCTTCGTGAGATGAGATGTTTGTCTGCTGCTAAAGGCTTCTGGGGACATCTTAGGGGACTGGAAGAGAAGTGTGGACTACAATGCAGACCTTAGTTTTCTACAACCGATCAGTATATATCCTATTTAAGAAACACTTATTGAGCCCTACCATGTTTTATGTACTGACCCTAACGTTAGGCTTGTTAAATAAGATCCATTTCTGTCTTTGAGGGTCTCCAAGACAATTAAGGAGTTTACATTATATTTATTTGTCATTGCCAGCAATAATAATGGTTATGAT